TGGTAGCCGTAGACTACTTCACTAAGTGGATCGAGGCGGAGCCGCTGGAAACGATCACGAGTGCCCGAGTACAGAAGTTCGTATTCAACAACATCATGATTCGCTTTGGTATTCCTCAGTCGATCATCACCGACCACGGCACACAATTTGATTGTAGACCGTTCGAGAACTTCTGTGCCAGAAACCGCATTACGTGCACGATGGCCTCCGTGGCATACCCCCAGACGAACGGTCAGGCAGAGGCATCCAACAAGCTGATCCTCCAGGGACTGAAGAAGCGTTTGAAGGACGCTAAAGGAGCATGGACAAGCGAACTCCCGCAAGTCCTATGGGCGCACCGCACGACCTATAAAACCGCTACGGGTGAAACTCCATTTGCCCTGACATACGGTTCCGAAGCAGTCGCTTCCGAGGAGCTTAATCTTCCTTCACTCCGCGTCCAAGCATACGATCCGAAAACCAATCATAGGAAGCTACTGGAACAGCTGGACCTGGCCGAGTCCAGGCGAGATGCGGCCCTAGAGCGCATTCTAAGCGAAAAGGCAAGGGTAGCCTCTTCTTACAACAAGAAGGTAAAGCCGCGACCCCTCGAGGAAGGAGATATGGTGCTCAAGCGGGATTTCCAGAAAAAGGATGAGCATGGAAAACTCGCCGCCACATGGGAAGGCCCATTCCTCATCGGTGAAAAAATAGGTCCCAGCACCTTCAGACTTGCAACTATGGATGGCGACCCAGTCTCCAAGACTTGGAACGGGATGTATCTAAGGAAGTACTACTCAGACGCAGTCTAGGGTATTTCATGCTACAAGGAGAATATTTTAGTGGTTCGGGAAATCTCCCACCACTTGTCATTATATGAGGGTTGCCACCAGGCACCCGCTTTTGCTTTAACTTATTTTGGTGGACAAGGAACACTCCTTCCACTTGTAACAGTGTACCGGTCGCTGCCAAGTGACCGCTTTTCCTTTAGTAATACACTGCTATTTCGGCCAAACTTTGTCGGTCAATGGGACGCGAAAGCCGCATCCCACGAATGCGCGTAGAAAAATCATATATCGACAAGGGGCACTAACTCAAAATGCGACTTGCGGAGGCGAAGCGGTTAGTTCGAAATAGTCCAAAACCCACTATCACAGAATAAGCGGGCAAAATACATAACAATGGGAAGCACCACACAAATAAGTCACAAACACTTAGGGAAATTCTAGTTCCAAAGACTGAGAATTTGAAATTTTTTGTCTCCCAACAAGAGACCGCTACACAGCCTCGCACAAAATACAGCGGCAAAGAAATAACCAAAGGCGACCTCATGCATCTGGCGACCCTTCACCTCCCTCGCCCTCATCCGCTGCCTCACCTCCTTCTTCCTCTTCCTCATCGTCAGCCTCGGAGTTCACATCCGCATCGGTCCAACCGCCCACTGAGTCCCAAACGAGGTTGGCGTCCCAAACTACGTCGGGAGCCTCCTGACGGAACAAGTGGCGAATAGCGGCCACAACGTCGCCAATGATCTTCTGATACTTGGCTTTGTCCAGTGCTTCGAACTCAGCAGATGCCACGTAGGCGGGACCCGCCTCAGCACGAGCAGCTACCACAGCCACCTCACGATTCTCCACCAAGGCGGTCTTCTCCAGTTTGAGGGCGCCCACCTCCTTGCTAAGCGACTCCTGTTCCTCTAACAGGGTCTTCTCAATTTCCTTCGATTGCTGAAGCTTGGCCTGGAGTCCCTCCCGCTCCTTAAGGACCGCCTGGTGAGCTATCATCTCTGCCGCCAATTCCTCCCTTTGCCTTGACAACTTCTCCTCAAAACCGCGCTCCAGCTCCAACCGCACCTCTTCCTTCAGTGTAACACGCTCATCATGGAGGCTCTTCCGCAGCTTGGCAATCTCCACCGTGTTCTCATCCACGGTCTTCGAGAGGCGGTCATTTAGCATGATGATATGCGAGAAACCGATCTGAGCCTGAAAAGAAGAACCGCAATGTTAGCAACAAAGGCATAACTCGCCCAAAGAACTATTCGGAAGTTACTCAGCAAAACTTACTGAGAAGAAAAACTAAGAGGCGATTCCAACCAGCCTTCGATTACACCCTTCCGAAGAGGAGGTATACTCTGAAGGCATGACGAGGCGGTCGCTGACGGTATGGAAGGTGAGCTCAGCGGCCTCAGTGTCGGTGGCGGCCAAAGGTGACACCTCCATGGGATGCGGCTGGTCGGACTGCTGAGCGGTCTTACCACGATGACCTCCCGCCTTAGTCGGGGACGCTCCCGCCCTTGCACGCTTGGTGGACACAGCGGGAACATTCGGCTCCTGCGGCCTCTTCCCAGCGGCCCGCGTCACGGGAATAGACGTAGCGGCCGTCTCCACCAGCACACTAGGAGCTACCGTCGAGGTAGTCGGAGGAACAGCATCTCCAATGACCGTATCCAGTGAGGGGGTAGAATCAGTCCTCACCACCTTCACCGCCCTCTTCTTCGCCTTAGGGCGGTTAGCAGCAGCAAGATCCCGCAATCCTGCAAAAAGGCCGCATAAGTAAAACGACATGAGAAAGAGAAGCACAAAAACAGTTAGACAAATTCCCACTAACCATAAAAACCACGAACATGATGTGTGTCACACACGTAATTGAAAACCCTCGATGATGCGGGTCACATGGTCCTTCACCGATTGTGGAAACTAGTTGGAGGCGCACCATGCATCCTTGGTACCAACCGCATAGCCGGTCGGCGGTTCTGAATCCCCGTCATACCATTTCCACGATGGCCGCGCGAAAAAGAATTCCTTATACCAGGGTGAATCCAACTTGGGCGACCCTTTGACAAACCTGACGGAGGTCTCCCGCCTCCCAATCGACCAACAGTTAGTAGAATCGTGGATGTTGTAGATTAGCCGGAAGGCATCAAAAGACGGCTCTTCTCCGAGGCGGTCACACGCAAGCCGGTACATCACAGAATGAAAAACAATGGTCGGTGAAAGGCATCCCAACGTACAACTGAGCCAATGCAAAACCTTGGTCAGAATGGGGTCGAGAGGGAACCGCAACCCCAGCTTCACCTGTTCAACATGGATTGGAATCCAACCAATCGGACAGGATCCAGAGCGGCTCGCTTCTGAAGGAGTCGCGTAATGCCAATCAGGAGGAAGATTAAGCGACTTCAAGCGAAAAAGCACCTGCTCAGGCTTGAAAACCGCTTTATGTTTCGGTCCCAAAGCAAACACCTCAGTCGGGACTGGTTGACCACCCCACATTCCCTCATGCCGAAGAAAAGTATACACAGAGTCCTTGACTGCGACCGGAAGCGGTTCTACTCCCTCGGGCTCTACTATTTCTAACGAGGATGATGTACTTAGGAGTGCCTCAGAACGCACACCCTCACTGTCGACCGCCTCATCCTCGTCCAATGATATACTATCTAAACCTACCCGCTCAAAATCACCCATGTTATCCCCAACCGCAGATGAAGTAGCCATACCCCCAGCTGGTACAGGGAGGATGTTAGCAAAAGAGTTATCTAAGTTTAAATTGATTCCGACAAGACAATCGCGCAATTCAAAACCACTCCCAATGTATAATTCTAGCTCGGATAAATCCCACACACACTCAGAGGCGGTTCGAGTGGGAGAGGAGCGGGTCATACCTTGGGATATGGAGGCGGCTCCCCCGGAGGGTCCTGCTTTCTTCTTCAGAGGGGCATGCGATGACAATGGCGCCCTCGAAGCGGCCTGAGTCTTCTCGGGGACCGCCTCCGAGGCCGTATTCACGAGGGATGCCTCGCCGGCGGCAGCGTTGCTCCCCGCTGTGGCAGAAGTGGTGCAATCGTCGCTCGACATCGTCAGACACTAAAGAGCGGACACCAGATCCGCCGCCGAAATTCAAACCAACAAACCAAGCGCCCCGCGAATGGCGCAATCGAGCGAAAATAGAAAAAGGGCAAAGAAGTCGGACGAAGAAGAAAGAAGAACTGAGAAGCGCAATACACACGAGTCACAGAACTTACCTGGGTTAGTCCGAGTTTATAAAGCTCGACGCAAAGGGGGGGCTCCAACTCTGTCGAAGAAGAAGAAGGGAAGGAGACGAAGAGTTTTCCGAAAGAGGAAGCAAAAATGGCGGAAAAAAGCTCCCCCATTGCTATTTAAACGAAAGACAGGGGTTCCGAACCCGAGGATGACGTTTCGCCTCGCCGCGTCAGAACACCACTATCGAGGTACGACACGTGGCATCCGCCCAATCGCGCGGAAAGGCGCGCACACCTTAAAACCGCCCCTCAGGCGTTCCGACTTCATACACGCACGACCAGGGGCAAGCGGGCGATCATGGACAGGGCGACCCATAACCGCTTAATGATACCAAGACAATTAGTTAGCCCCGCGAGCCTAAAGCCTCTCACGCCTAAGGGGCAAATGTTGGGGCAATCATTAAGGCATATGGGCCTCCAAGCCCACGATCACTAAAAGGCCCAATAAAGCAAACAAGCCCAATCCAGGAGACTAGGAGGCGGTCTATCTGTCACCCCCGTGAAGACCGCCCGACATACAACGGAAACAAAGCAGGACGCCCGACAGCGAGCATGTACGGCGTCCTGACAACGAGGTACGGATACTGACCAAAGTACAGATCTGACCATGCATTTATGGGAAACCAGAGGCGGCTGGAGGCCGCCCGACATAACGTAGATTGTCCTCACTCCCATGCCCAGCTAGTATAAATACCCATCAATGGATCACATTTATGGTAACTTCTATCTACTCGATTCTCTCTCCTATTTACTCTCAACTCACTTCTCTCTCTAACTTTGGCATCAGAGGAGGTCCCAGGGCAACCCCTGAGGACCTTTCTTGCAGGACTTCGAGGACCGCCTCTCACCTAACCAGGACCGCACGAAGTCAGTGGAGTCTCACAAAACCGCCCGTTACGAACCAGGCTTAAACAAATTGATTTGCCGATAAGAGAGCCATAAAATGGGCAGCTCTTTGTAACAAAGATAATTTGGTTGGAGTAATGATGCGATGACAGATTATACGCCCCTGATTCGATTACACATTGAAAAAGGAAGAGGGGCATAGCTGCTGGATTTCCCCACTTTCCTCACGAAACAGAACCTGATTCTTACCAATTAGCCATTAAAATTTTCTACCCAGAGTTTCTTGAGAAGACAAAGCCAATCTCACGTGTCTTCAATCTTCATCCTCAAATTTGCAGTTTTGCACCATTTTCTCCATTATAGTAATAACGTAATAACGTAATATTATATCTTTTGTTCTTTCTCAGCTTACAATGTTTACCGGTCACTGTCGCCCAGTGCATCCTCGGTGGTTCGTTTCTGCCGGGATCAATTGTTTTTGGCATACAACAGCTGGACAAAGTACTCCTGCTAGTGACGCTACTACTAGCTAGTCCAATTTCATCAAGTCTCTCTCGATCACAGGCTGGGTGCTTCTGATCCGTCTCCGATTTGATCCCTAGAGACCTCTCCAACGTCCTCGTCGAGCTCGTAAAGGTACGCCATAAAGACAAAAACTCATTCGTTATAATCGCCTGATTCTGTCGGGCTCTGCTGTGAAATTTTTCCTCGGAAAGTTGGTGCCTTTGTTTGTTTCTTCTTTCTGGCGTGTGGGTTTCTGATTCGAATCAAAGTTTAATTGCAGGATGGAGGAGATCACTAACGTGATGGAGTTTGAAGAAATCGCGAGGCAGAAATTGCCCAAGATGGTTTATGACTACTACGCCTCTGGGGCAGAGGACCAGTGGACTCTCAAGGAAAACCGCAATGCCTTCTCTCGAATTCTGTAATCCCATTCCACCTACTCCTTTTTTGTTTCTTCTTCCGGATCATGCATCTAAAAGTTGATATTCTTGTGTCTTTTGCTTGAAGAAATTCAGATTGTTCTTTATTTACGACGCTTTGATTCTGAGTATATAGGTTTCGGCCGCGGATTCTTGTTGATGTGAGCAACATTGACTTGACCACAACTGTAATGGGCTTCAAGATTTCGATGCCGATCATGATTGCTCCAACCGCTATGCTGAAAATGGCCCACCCTGATGGTATTTAAGTCGCAGTTTTCATTCATTCAATTCCCTTCATTCGAATTGATTGAGATGCCACTGAGGGCACGCAAGGGTTCTTTCTATTTGATTGTAGTTGACCATGATCAACTTTTAATCGATGCAGGGGAGTATGCTACAGCAAGAGCAGCTTCAGCAGCTGGCACGATTATGGTAAGAATGTGAACTTGAGTTGGGTTTTTTTATTGGAACACTATTTCACAACAGGTCTGCCTTAGTAAAGGGTATTACCATCCATGACTTGGATGTGATCTTCTGCAGACATTGTCATCATTGGCTACATCAAGTATTGAAGAGGTTGCTTCAACAGGTCCTGGCATTCGCTTCTTCCAACTCTATGTGAGTATGATTTCTCTTTATTCAAAGAAAAGAGTGTGATTTCTCTGCAAAACCACTCAATCCTATTTTCTCCATTTTGTTCTGACCGATGGCATTGGTATGCCTGCATTTCAGTTAATCCTGAGGCTGTGTCTTGATATTTGATATGTTGGGGCACAGCGGAAATATGGTGAGATGGATCGAAAATAGAGGAAATTCTTTCACTCTAATATCTCACACAACTAGGCAATTGTTGCCTTTTACATTAGAGCTGCTGCTCTTGATTGTTCTACTTCTACCCTCACAAACACTGCCCACATTTTCCCATAACAGATTAGGCAAGTTTGTTGCCTTAACCCTTGAGAGGAGCCTATGCTCTCTAGCTCACTCTACCTTACATGCCTCAATGAGGCTTTCTATTTATATTGCCATGACAAGGCTTTCCACCACCTATACACGTAGCAAATACATTGGTGGTAGGTTTAGTTTGTGGCTTGAGTTTATTTCTATTATTTTAGTTCCAATAATGTAGGTAGTTGGGTAGTTGAGTTTTTCTCCAATATTCTGCACATGGGACTCATATGGAGATGTCTAGAGCTTTGAAGAGAATTGTGGATTATGGATTTTTGACACCCCCTCTTAATCCGCAATTCGTAGTTGCTCCTTGAACTTCTTGAATTTTTCTCAAGTGACCGACTTCGTCATGATGTATGCTTGATTTCTTCACCTTGAGTGAATTTTGCTTCTTGATCATCTTCTTGTTTTTGCTTGAACCAACAATCCCTTTGGGAGTGATTTGGATTCCTGCTCTTCCTGCATTTGAACCTGCAAAATTTTGTTGCACGTCCCGTCTTTTGACATATAATACAGTATGAGTTGTTACCGTTGGATTTTCCTCTACGGTCTTGCTCCTGCTTGGTAGTTCATCATCTGCTTCTGACATTTTGCCAGAATCTTCCTCCATCACGAACATTGTGTTCGCCTGGACTGCTGCCATGATTTGGGAGATTTTTTTTTTATGGGTAGGATATATGGGAATGGTTTAGGAGGATAGGATAGTAGTATCGGCTCTGATACCAAATTTGTTGGGGCACAGCGGAAATATGGTGAGATGGATCGAAAATAGAGGAAATTCTTTCACTCTAATATCTCACACAACTAGGCAATTGTTGCCTTTTACATTAGAGCTGCTGCTCTTGATTGTTCTACTTCTACCCTCACAAACACTGCCCACATTTTCCCATAACAGATTAGGCAAGTTTGTTGCCTTAACCCTTGAGAGGAGCCTATGCTCTCTAGCTCACTCTACCTTACATGCCTCAATGAGGCTTTCTATTTATATTGCCATGACAAGGCTTTCCACCACCTATACACGTAGCAAATACATTGGTGGTAGGTTTAGTTTGTGGCTTGAGTTTATTTCTATTATTTTAGTTCCAATAATGTAGGTAGTTGGGTAGTTGAGTTTTTCTCCAATATTCTGCACATGGGACTCATATGGAGATGTCTAGAGCTTTGAAGAGAATTGTGGATTATGGATTTTTGACATGATAATCATCAGGTGTACAAGGACAGGAACGTAGCCGCTCAGTTGGTTAGGAGAGCTGAAAGAGCCGGTTTCAAGGCGATTGTACTTACGGTTGACACCCCAAGACTTGGTCGGAGAGAAGCTGATATCAAGAACAGGTTTGTTTGTGAACCTCTACCCAGACGGATTCAATCGCTTTTAAGCATCTGTGTGCAACTACTGAACTGCATTCTCCTTTATTGTAGGTTTGCTTTGCCACCCAGTTTGACACTGAAGAACTTTGAGGGCTTGGACTTGGGCAAAATGACAGTAGACAAGGTTAGACCCACAAAGACTCCACTCTCTCAACTTGTGAAATCTGCAAGCGTAGCTATAGCTCTATCCAGAATTGTCATCACTTGTCACGACATATAATGCTTGATTCGCTCAGACCAGTGACTCAGGTTTGGCCTCCTATTTTGTTGGCCAAGTCGATCCGACGCTGAGTTGGAAGGTACTACTACTAGCTATATACTAACAAGATCTCTTGCCCATCTCCATTGACCACCTGAAACTCTAACATTGTGGCTAGTACTAAGTTTGTTTAATTGTATAACCCAGGATGTGAAGTGGCTTCAAACCATCACCTTATTGCCAATTTTAGTGAAGGGGGTGCTGACAGCTGAAGATGGTAAGCATACATAACCCCAAACCAACTTCCTCCTTCCCAGATTTTGTCCTGCCTCTGGTGGCATTATGATTTCCAGGGGTTTTGTTGAATGAAACGCAGCGAAGCTAGCAGTACAGAATGGGGTGGCAGGGATCATTGTGTCCAATCATGGAGCCCGCCAGCTTGATTATGTTCCAGCCACCATCACAGCTCTGGAGGAGGTTGTGAAAGCTGCAGAGGGCAGAGTTCCTGTGTTCCTAGACGGTGGAGTTCGCCGTGGGACAGATGTGTTCAAGGCACTGGCGATGGGAGCATCTGGTGTATTTGTAAGCATATCTCTGACACGTATGGATGTGGTGGCCAAAATCTGGGGCCGGTTTAGTTACACTTTGTTTGATGTTTTCTATATGTTCCGTGGCAGATTGGAAGGCCAGTGGTGTTCTCATTGGCGGCAGATGGAGAAGCTGGAGTGAGGAAAGTTCTGCAGATGCTTAGGGACGAGCTTGAACTGACGATGGCACTAAGCGGGTGTACATCGATCGAGGAGATTACTCGCAATCACATCATTACTGACTGGGATCCTCCTCGGTCGCTCCCTAGCAGCAGGTTATGAATTGGATTGGAACCATTTGGCATTGTATTGTTAGCTTGTAATGTTGAGAATAAGAACCTCCCCATTTGTTGGAAAAAGGTTGTATCCATCCATTGTTATGTAAAGTAATGTAAACATGAAGACTGAAGATCGTTTAAATTGACGACGAACGCAGTACGTAAGAAGGATTGTCTACTTTGCTTCGTCCGATCTAATCATATCTGAGTAATCTGGTTAGCATGTTGAAATGTTGATGCCCCTACTTTCATTCTTTCAACGAAGGCCGAGGGGCATAGTTAGGTTATCCAAACATTACTACTTCTGCCGGTCACTGGAAATAACTACAGTAAACTGTCAACCTTTTGATCAATTAGATAAATGATGCCATATGTTTGGAGTTACTAACATTTAGAGTCAATGACACTAAACTCTTTTTGTGTACTACGTTGTGTCTTGTAAGTTGCCGAGGGCAATTAGTCCTCAGAATTCGGATATGTAAATCAAAATGATTCGCTGACTAAATATCGAATGTACATAAAAGAGTCTTTGCCGATACTACAAATCAAAACATGGATGCAATCATGTGAAATGTTGCTATGCATCTTCATTGTCGATTGGACTCATGTAGAGGTGGCTAATGGATTTGATTTGTGGATTCATGGATTGGATCCATGGATCCAAGTAGCATCCACATTAGACCAACAGTGGAAATTTTGAAAATTTCAGGGCCTAATGTCAATATAATAGGTACCAAAATGCAATTTTTGAATAACATATTCATAAAATAAATTGCAATTTAGGTATAAGATGGTAAAATATGAGAAATATAGGTACTAAATTATAATTTTTCAGCAATCCATGAATCCAACAATCCAACTGGTGTGGCTCTTTAGGTATTAGGGATGAACATAAAACATCAAAAACTAAAAAACGCGTGCCAACCGATTCAACCCATCTTTGTTTATCCAATTAGAGAAATAGTTAAGATTGGGTTCGAAGCAGAGCAGAAGATTCCAAGGGAGCAACAAATCTCCACGAAAAACACTGATTCCCAACCATAACCACCGGGGAAACCATTAACCGACATTATCGGTACACGATAGCAAAAAAACCAAATATTACTATACCAAGTTATACCCAATTAGACTCAAATAATAGTCGAAAATCACTTTACAAGATTCGATATACCGTTAACCGATTATCGATTACCAACCGATTACCAGTACTAAGAGGAAGTAATTTCCTAATAACCACCTTTATTTCTCTCTTTCTGTCAGGAGCTTCTTCCTCCATTGCATTTGCTCTTTTATTTTTATCTTGTTTGTTTTATTGTGTTCAATGTTGTACCATGTTTTCCAAGGATCACTTTAACAAAATGAAACATCACTTTCATCAAACACAAAAATTAAATAACACTCGATTGTACTATAGTACATATGAACACACGATGTACATTTTTTTTTTTTAATAAGTGTACAAACAAAAGTACATAAATTAGGTTATCGAAAAGTAAAGGACATCAATTAATTAACTAATCGATCAGTGCTTTCTTCCCCGTACTAGTCTAGGTAACTTCCTCCAACCCTCTTCCCGAAAGCGACACAGAATCAATTACCACTAAAGCACAAGTTACAGAGATTAATTACCACTAATCTTCTAAAATCACTCATGCCTAAATCGAGGTGGTTAAGCTAAAAGAGAAGATGAAGAAAACAAGAAGGAGAAAGAATGTTAATTAATTAGTCTAAAACTCCTAAATCGTACAAGTTAATTAAAGCTTGCTAGCTAGCTAGCTATGGGCGGTGGTGATGGTAAGGAGAGGCGGTGTCTTGAATCCGATGCTTCCGTTTCTGGAGAAACCTCTGCAGCGATCTCTTCATGTAGAGACTGTTGGGACTGTACAGCTGCAAATGAAGAGGCGGCGGCGGCGGCGGTGGATGATGATAACGGTGACCCGAACTAGGCGACGGAGGCTCCGAACTCGACCCGTCTCCACTCTCTCCACTGCCGCTCCTTCTGTTGTTTCTCTCCGTCTTCTTCTCGTCCTTGTGTTGTTGCTTGTCGGCGGTCATCCACATTTCTTCCGTTTCCTGGCTCGCCGCCAGCATCATTATCGCCCTCGCCTGCATTCCCAACCCATAAACCCATTAGATATTGCATGAACACATAGTATGAAATTGTACCATGGTGGTATGATGCAATGATATAATGTTGTACGTTGGTAATGCGTTAGTAACGTTATATGAACAAGAGTTATTGACCTGGTCTCTTTACATAAGAATTTATGTTTATTTTTTTATAGCAAAGTAAGAATTTGACATCTTTAGTAGCAATGCCATAAATTGGCTTGGCTGAGGAGCTGCTCGACATCCTCACCTCGTCAATCCTGTTAGTGAGTTGTATAAGACTCATTATTGAACCTCTCCTAACAACTTGAGTTATTGAGAGCAACTGGTTCTTGACATGGTATCAGAACCTGTTGTAGCCGGGAGGTCTTGTGTTCCCGGTGACCCCCATTTGTGAAGTGTATGTATTCTCATGTTCAGAACATGTGCAAACGAAAACCCTTATAAGTTTACTGGATTTTGTTTAATGGAATGTTTTCTCATTTTCATTTTCCTGTTACCATTGTGTTCTTTAATTTCAGATGATATCCATAACCGATTGAATATTCCAATACCCACAAACACGGTCCATCCCACTACGGAATATCAGGCACAAGATTTTTTTTTCAAAGAGAAAAAAGGAAAGAAAGTATTAGCCACGATAGTCACATGGCGCCATTGATGTTTGCTTTTTTGTTTTTATTGTGGAGGTCAACTGAACAAACCGGCCGCTGCCTAATTCCTGCCAGTTGGTTGAATCTGCCTAAACACCTCCTTGATGAAACTTTTCTTTGGATGAAATTTTCTTTGATCATGAATTCAAGCTAGTTTAGGAAAAATGCTTGATGAACTAATTAAATACGTTCGGTAATTAATTAAGCACCCAAAGAAGCAGAGATGGAGAGGACGTACTTGGAATTCTGTAACGTCGGAGACGCAAACTCTGCCGTTGTAGAAGATGGTAAGCTGCTGCTTCCGTTGCTGCGGCGGCCTCTCTTCTCCCTTATCCCCCATTGATCAATTATCGCTTAATTACCCTAATCCTTCTGTTGCTTGAAACCACACCAAAATGAACAGAAGAACGCGAAAAATGGCACTGCTGGTTCTTGAATATTATTGCACCCGAGAGAGTGCTATATATACGCACGTTCCCCTCCCTGCCCTTCTGTTGATCGGAACCCTAATCGCAGAGATGGGGGTTTCCTTATTATTCTATGTATCTAATAGTAATATTTAAGAAGAAGAAGAAGAGAAACCTTGTTATTGAGAAGGAGCTGTGAGGCCGGGGGGAATGGGACGTGCGGCATATATATAGAGATGGAGAAAAGGGGAAATGGAATTGAAGAAGCTTAAACACGTATTTAATTTTAAGCCCACCAATCTCTTTTCTGTATATGATTCATGAATGAATGAATGAATGAAGAGGAATGATCATGTCATGTGGCCGGCCTACCCGAGATTTTAATCAACCGTAAATAAGGTTAAAGTGAGAGAGGGCTCCACGTTCTAATATCTTCACGTTGTTTTATTTAATTTTGGAGGACTCACATTTTGCACGTGTTGCATGCTTCGAAATTCCTTTTTCCCCCCCAACCAGAGCCAGAGCCAACCCTCCCCTCCCTCGTTGTACAATGTTTGGTTGGATATTAGGTTATACTCTAGAAACCGCCAGCTTTTCTGGTTTTGCCTTTCTGTGTTTCCTCTTTTCAGGGCATGAATTGCGCTTACAAAATTTTCAATCTCCTCCCTCAAACCCTTCTAGCTAGCTACATCTCCCTAATTCAACACGTGATCCGATTGCATATAACCCATCGATCCGACGATTTTTGGTGGCCTATTTTGTATATATAGTTTTTCACCCACTTTAGTTTTCTCCATATTTAACATAAGTTCAAAATGCATCCACTGTAGATCTTCTCCGGAGAAATTTTAGGAGTGCATTCAGCTGGCTGGCTACTTGTACAAATGGCGGATATAATTTCAAAATTCGGCTTCCTTTAGATGTAAATAATTCGATGAAGGTATAGATTTGGTTCCGAGAGGTTTTGGGTCCGAGTGTTGCTCATTAGTCATTATCACTTTCATATCGTCCCTATGATAGCCATCGGGGTCTGGCAGGGTTGTCGTACAAGTCTAAACCATTTTGATAGGCTTGTCAACTGGATATTGTGGATGGCAAAATTACGCATCCTCATGAGTACCCAACCGAACTTGAACCAATTTTAAAGAGGAAAATCTAATTACCATGATTTTTGGTTGGTTTTCCCAGACCTAATGAAAAAGTAATGATTTTTATGTGGGTTTCTACACATAATATAATACAACGAAGGGAAAAACGGGAGCCCCATTTCAAATTTCCTGCAACGAGAGTGAAAGTAGGAAGGACATTTTGCTCTTCAGATTCGAACCATGACCATTTTAAAGAAAAGCAAGGATCATAACCAATCACACTAATTACATTGGTTGTATCTTTTTAAATTAAAAACATATAATAGCAGGGAGGAAAAAACCATTCCCCCATTTCAAATTCCCTGCTCCAGGAGCGTTTGTAGGAAGGGTAGAATAGGAAGTGTCAAACACTTCTAAAGTGAGGGGGTTTTTTGCAAAAACACGTATTTTCAGATCAAAATTTGGCCATCGGGGCCTATGGGTGTCGGAGAGATCGAGCGCGATGGGTGTCGGAGAGATCTCGAGAGGGTGTGCGCCGAGGGGGGGTGTGTCTCTTCAGTTTCTCCGTGTGTGTGTTCGTCTTGCAGGTCACAGGTTGCGGACTCTAGCGGTGGCGGCGGCCAAGGGAATAAGTGTTTGAGGGCGACGAGAATCGGCATGAGGAAAGTGTCAATTTGGAGAGAGTCGGCGGCGAGGTCAGTTTGGTATAAGCTCCAGGTGGAAGAAAAGCACAAGAGATGGTCCATCCTGTTGAGTGAGACGCATATAGCGTGGCTCCAGGGAGTTTTGCAGATCGCAGCGACGAGGAGTTGGAACTTCCCCAAAGGGTGTATCAAGAGAAGCGGAGATCGTATTATTCATGTGGGGAAGGTTACCTCTAACCGAAGATCGATACTGCAAATTTCGGAACAGGTGAAGAGTGGTAGGGTGTTCAAGGTCCTTATTCCGTCCTTGGGAAGGGAAGACGGATGGTCGCGGGTTATCTTCCTTCTCCAGGATTTCTTCAAGGCCGAACGCAACTTTGCAGAGGCACCGATGATTAACAGGGTGAGCGCGCAACCACCCCTGCTACCTCCTCGCCCTGCTACACTGCTTTCCTATGCGGAGGTGGTCAAGGGAAATGGTTTCTATGGTGCGGGAAGATGTGATATCAAAGGGTCAGGGTCTGATAGATTCATTGAGGTCGGTGATGCTGGGATTCGAGAAAGGCGGGAATTGCTGGGTAGAAGTTTGGTCATCAAGTTTTCATCATCGAACAAAGATGTCTTCTCCTCTGCTCTTGTTCCAGAATTCAGACAATGGGCACGCCATAATTGGGATGCAAATGACAACTATAGTTTTGAAGACCTCGGCAATGGGAATTGGCTCCTCGTCTGTCCAAGTTTTCAGCTGGCCTTGAGAATCCAGAGTTTCAGTCAATGTATGTTCAAGAACTTTTCGGTGGATATTTCCTTTTGGAAAGAAAACGTAGATCTTTCAGGACCTGACCCGGATGATGTGGTATGGGTGTGGGTTTACGGCATCCCACTTCATCTCAAGAGCGTGACCCTCATCCAAACCATTGGAAATTTTTGCGGCTCGTTGGTGGAAATTGACTGGAACTCTTGGAGCTCCAATTTTATTAGAATCCGAATCCGCTGCGATGATGAACTCCCTTCGCATGTGCCTGTGTGCCATGGATCTAACAGGTTCGAGATTCAAATTTTGTTGCCGCCGGTGCATTTCGGCGACGCCCCTCAGGCGGCTCCCCATCTGGGGTGGAAGACGAAGCGCCTTCCTCGGGGCCCTACAGGCGTGCATGGGAATCTAAGCTGCATGGGGGCCGTCCCCTCTTCTCCTCAGAACACGCGCAGAAAGGGGCTCGAGAAGAATCGATCTGTGAAGAAGATTTGGGTCAGGAAGTTTGGGCCATGGCCCAACCCGAGTCCTCCTGGCCCATTAGCTATTATGTCCCATTCAGAGCGGGCGCCTCCGTTAAATCTGGGCCCGGGTGCCCACTGTATTGAGCCTGGAAGCTGCAGTCCAGGCCTGAGTCTGCACCCTGACCCGGTCATCTCGATCCTAACCCTCTTCTCGTGGGGTTCAGGCTTGCGGCCCAACATTTCCCCTCCCTTGCAATGCCAATTCCTTGCCGCCATTCACCTTCCAGAATGGGGAGTGAGCCTTGCTTCCTTCAACTCAGCTTCTTCTTCCTTCCCCCACCTCTTCTCTGACCGATCATCCCTTCATAGCAATCCCCCCCACCATACATACTTTCTCGTTAAAACCTCCCATCCCAACACCAATCCTACCAATCTTACCAATCTTTCGACCTTCTTGCCAAGTCCCTTACCCGAACCTTCTCCCTCTACCTCTGGCCTTTCTTCCCAACCTGCCTTACCCCTTCTGGGTCACCAGCCCTCCCCTACCCCTACCCCCACCTACTCTCCGCCTTCTTCCCCCCAACCAGACTCCAACTTTCTTTCTGAACTCCCCTCTCCGTCTTGCGTGCAAGATAGCCAAGCCATGGATCGAGATTTGGAATCTTTCCCCTTTGATGTTGGAACTCTGGAACAGGCTTGCATCCGGGTTGGGGGTATCTTTAATTTGGGCCATGAAGATGGACAGGAGATCTCTGATAATATTATTATCGAGACGGCGAGGAGCACACATCAGAGGAAGATTCGGACCTCTAGGTCCAGGCTCGAAATGGAGGAGCGCCGGTTGGGGCCTATTGCACCCCCTGTAGCTGGTCCTCGAAACAGGAAATTGAAGGGTAGGGCTTTGAACTTGACCGAGATTTAATGAGTACTTCAATTATCGTATGGAATGTTAGAGGGCTTGGTGACGATGGTAAGCGAGCGAGAATCAAGAGAATTCTGGGCAGAAGGAAACCTGACATTGTTGGCCTCGTTGAAACGAAATGGGATCAGTGCTCCGAGGGGTTGGTCTCTAGCATTAGTGGTAGCAGGGAGAGTGGCTGGATGGCTAAGAACTCTGTGGGAAGCTCGGGAGGTTTGGTAATTTTCTGGGATAAAGCCCGCTTCAAGGTTCTCCATTCTGTGGAGAGTAATTTCTTCTTGGGTATCATGTTCCAGGACGCAGTTAATAACAGCAGTTGGTTCTTGGTTGTTGTTTATGGGCCTCAGGATGTTGAAGAGAAGCTTTCTTTCTTGCGTGAGATTAGAGATTTCTGCATCCACTGGGATGTTCCTTTGTGTTTAGCGGGGGATTTTAACTTGGTTCGGTGTCATGATGATTACCGAGGTGGGAGAAGAAGCGAGAATATGATGGATGAGTTTAATGAGATTATTGATGAATCTGCTTTGCTGGAACTTCCCCTTGGAGGGAGCAAATTCACTTGGAGCAGAGGGGCAGGTCACGACTCTTTCTCACGGATCGATCGGGCTTTTGTTTCTCCGAGCTTTGATACTTTGTTCCCTGACTGCACTCTTTCGGCATTGGAACGCATCGAGTCCGATCATAACCCCCTGCTTATTAAATGGGGTGGTAATCAGAGAATTCGGCGGCCATGGAAGTTCGAATCAATGTGGCTGGAAGACGAGAGATTTTACAGTGGGATGGTTGAATGGATGAGGACTGAGATCAGTGGGAGAGGATCCATCTTTCGATGGGCCAAGAGGCTGCAAGACCTTAAAGGGAAGATTAAAGTGTGGAACAAAGATGTATTTGGTAATGTCAATGAGAAGATTGACCTCCTCCTTGGGTATATTCGCGAGTTGGAAAGAACCGAGGATGATAGACCCTTATCTTCTGACGAGGTGGCTGCTTGTGCTGATTTCAAAATCGAACTAAGCAGGTTACTTTTTCTCCAGGAGATCTCGTGGAGACAGAAATCCAAAGAATTGTGGTTGAGACTTGGGGACAGCAACACGAACTTTTTCCACAGGGCAGCTAACTACAGAAGGAAGCTAAACCTGATTGAATGCATTAGAATCAATGGGGCGGTGGTAGAGGGCAGGGAGGCGTTGGCTAGTGGAATTGTGGAGCACTTTGAAAATCAATTTAAGGAACTGGTTCATAGGAGGCCTTTCCCCTCTCATTACACCAGCAGGAAGTTGACGGTGGAGGAGGGCTACTCTTTGTCCAGTTGTTTCAC